GTGGGCACATAAGGAAAACAACATGTTAAATTTTCCTCCAGAATTTTCTAGCATTTTGCGGCAAGGGATGGACTGCCTTTTCCAGCCCAAGTCACAATTAAGCAGCCCATTCTATTTTGATGCATTGTGTATGCAGTCGGGCACATTCAGCAAAAACAGCCTGGTTTTTAATAACGTGGTAGTCTTCATTCTCTCTCCTACAAACATCTCAGAAAAGAGAACTACATCCTACCGGTGCTGACACCGACCAACTCTTGTCAATTACAAATGCGTAAGGACTGTTGCAGGCGTTCGGATTTGACTGCTCACCGGCAGAGCCAGGCTTTGAAACTGACCAGAAATGTCATACTACGTAACGTGTTTCGCAGCCGATTTTACTAGCACAAGAGACACCAGAGCGACGGGGAATGGGGTGGGGGTGGAGGGGGGCTTTTCACCCACCCCCTCCAATAAAATTCTGTAAAAATCCAAGACTGACACAGGATTTCACTCAGGGAGGCACCTAGCCAGGTCTTCTTCCTTCGAAACCCAGGCTAGGTAACAGCTCGCTGCAGGCACACACCGTGCTCGGTCGCCTGTCGTGTGCTGGACCCCATCGGTGCCCACACACCTGAACCACCTGGGCGGGCAGCGTCGGGCGGGCAGCCCCCGGGCGCTGCTGGGGTGCAGGCGACACCCAAGCGGCTCAGCTCCCCCGGGGACCCTGGGTGGTGGTAACCTTGGCGCCAAGTCCCTCCACCGTCCGGACCCGTTTCCCCGCTGGAAAATGCGTCAGACTGTGCCAAAGGCACTGCTCCGATCCTGGGGACCTCGGCCACAGAGGAGGACGGAAAAGGGCTGGCGTCCACCCGCGTCCCAAACTCTGCTCCCCACGCAGGCCACCCGGCGTCGGGTCGCAGCCCCGTGACAGCTCCCGGAGCTCAGTTTCTCCGGCGGCAAAATGGGATGCCCGCGGCCGCCCTCCCCTGCGCCAGGGAGTCCCGCACCCCCGGAGGTCTGAGACTCCCAGGGATCGCGTGGTGGGGAGGGGCCGCCGCTCCCAGGACGCCCCCCCCCACCTCCCCTCCACGGAGACAGCAGACAGCCTACCGGGCTTCACGGTCTTGAGACGGATGGGCTCGCGGAAGTGGCGGATGACAGCCAGGGTGTCCCGGTTGGTGAGCCCGCTGACAGGCGTCCCGTTCACCTCCAGCAGCACATCCCCGGGGCCGGGCGCCTTGCCCGAGAGGACGCAGCAGGTGCCCCCG